CTGCTTTTTACTTTTAAATGAAATATTATATGTATTCTCTGCCTTGCAGGCTATAAGTGCCTGTGTTTTAATGCTTTTTCTTTTGATTAAAGTTCTTATCTGGGCTTTGTACAGCTATAATCTGATCTAAGTAATTGTTCAAAGCTTAAGTTCAGTTTTTACAGATTTTTAAGCATACGGTATGTGCCTGCAGTTTCCCCTCCCAACTGTAAGACTATCTTTGATATTTTTTGGATGTAAGGTAAGGAACTTAGAAATCATGTAAATAAATAGAACTTGTACAGAATCAACATGTTTTGAATTACATGGGATTATTGCAAGTAAAATAAAGCCTTATAATGAGATACCCAGGTGAGTTTGGAAAAGCTTATCCCTGATTGCCTGCTTCCATTCTGCAATTAACCTTTTACTGGGATAATGTCAGCTATGATGAATCATAGAACCTGTTCTTTGCCTGGGTAGTCTGTAAGTCTTTGGGGGACTCCTTGGGGAGTTAAGTATCCTTATCCGGTTCTGATAAGACAAATTCTTAGAGGATAGGTTTATAGGTTGCTCTTAACCATCATGGTGGCTAATATGTTTTACAAAGATATTTGGGCAAAAGAGGCAGAAAATCCTGCCTATATCTCTCCACTTCCCTGGCAATGCAAATGCAATAACAAAATAAATAATAGATGGTATGCAGCTATATTTTCATGGTCAGCAGTGATACAACACAGCCCCAAACCGGGTTCTACATTTTGTACACCCCAAGTTCTTTGTACCAGCACCAGAGCACGGGTTGCTGGAAGAAACAAAGAACACAAATATCTCTTTGAAGACAAATAAAAACAAACTCCCAATTATTTTTATCAACCAAGGCAGGAGATTCACAACATAGAGGAGCAGCTCCAAGTATACTGTCTTTAAAGCCCTAAAATAAAATATGAATGGAAACACCAATACATAAGATCCCTGCATGGATTCACCCTTCCAGGGCCCCTCCTGTACAAACATATGGAAATTCTATTACCTAAACCAAGATGGTAAGGAAGGACCCTATAATTCTCCAGGGGAACAGCAGCTCCTGCCTCTCCAGCTCTACCACTCTTTCTCAGTTAGAATTGTGAACCACAGTCTTGTCCACAAAAGCTCACACTAAAAATATATATATATAAGTTACTCTTTAAGGTGCCGCCATGTTTTTGACTTTTTATTTCTATTTTGCTTTTACCTATAATGTATCTGGACGTTGAGTCATGTCCACTGGACTTCTTTCTCGTTAAGTTGAAACGTTTTGCTATTCATCCAAGTAGGTTCTTCAGTCTGAAGAAGTTACTTGGATGAGTAGCAAAACGTTTCAACCTAACAAGAAAGAAGTCCAGTGGCCATGATTCAACTTCCAGATAACCACACCTGGATGACTGAGAATCATCACATATATCTTTACCTATAATGCTTGCACAGACTAACACAGCTACCCCTTACACCACCTTTCTAAGATTTCCCTACCCGTTGGGCTGAACGACGTACTGTAGTCCATATGGGGCACATTTGCAGGATTCCTGAAAGCGGCCACTGTGTGAAACAAGCTGCCCAAACTGAATGAACCTTGCTCAAAGGTGGAGCTCTTATCTTGTTATGACTAGGGCCATAGTTGTGTTTTCCCTTCACGGTGCTAACGCTTTAAGGAAGCATCCGACATTGAAAAGTGCAATGCAAATATTTGTTGTGATGTGTGTATGCAGGTCAGGGAGCGAAGAAGATTGTTGAGAAAAGTGTCTAGTGGCTGGTTGCCTGTCTGGAAAAAGGTCACTGTGCACATTCCATCATATTCCCCTCTGATGTTGGCTCTTTACATACTTGCAGCTGGATCTGCTCAAGGCAACCTGAGTTACTTATATCGAAACATTATTGGCCTTTTTGGTTCAATGTTTTTGTCTGTTTTTTTTTAATTTTAAAATAGTGATCAGGGACTGATTGTGTCCCAGCTATAGGGCAGATTCTAGAGTCCTAGAGCCCAAGAATCAGATGGACACTGAATCTAAAGAAGGGGGCTGGTTTGGCAGCAAGGTGTTCTGAAGAATCCATTCACATTACCAGCTCACATCTGGACAGTGGAGGCTCACATATTCCTATTTTCAGTCATGTTCTTTCTGTTTAAATTATAGCAGTTGTTTCTAATTTTACCATTAATCAACACAGACTTTATCTGTTTGTTACATTTATAAGCTGTCTTTCTTGTCAAGGCAGCAAACATAGCTCTCCTCCTTGCGTACACTCACAATAGCCTTAGGAGGCAAATCAGACTCAGAAGAAGACGTTTTGTGGATCAATGGGAACTATAACTGTGGCCTCCTGGGTCAGAACCTTGCATTCTAACTGCCAGACCAACATAAATCATCCTCAGTTTTCCCCCCTCGGTAATGGATTTCCTTTATATCTGCACTGCATAAGAGTCGCTCTGTTTACCGGAGCGACTCTTTCCAATAGGAAGGAGTGGTGAACTCCTCAGCAGCCCTGCCGTTTGTCTTCTGGAGTTTCACCCTTCCTCAACACCTTCTCACCTTTCCAGGATGGTTCTAGTTCTAGAGATGTTTCAACCCCAATGAAGGTGGTGGAAGCAGTTGAAGGAGAAGCTGTAGAAGAAAACTGGGAAGGCAAAGAAAAGGGTTATACCCTTCCCCTCCGAAAACCTGCTTCCCTGCTGGAAAGTAACTCTCAATTCACTGGTTTGCTGGGTGGGGGGTGGGGAACCTTCTCCCCTTGACTTTTAAGGCTCTGCTGCCTATAGTTTCTGTTCCAGCCTGGGTATTTTACACGAGGTTAAAACTCAAAGAAGGGACGTGGTGGCGCTCTGGGCTAAACCGCAGAAGCCTATGCTGCAGGGTCAGAAGACCAAGCAGTTGTAAGATCGAATCCACGTGACGGAGTGAGCTCCCGTCGCTTGTCCCAGCTCCCACCAACCTAGCAGTTCGAAAGCATGCAAATGCAAGTAGATAAATAGGGACCACTTCGGTGGGAAGGTAACAGCGTTCCGTGTCTAAGTTGCACTGGCCATGTGACCACGGAGGATTGTCTTCAGACAAACGCTGGCTCTACGGCTTGGAAACGGGGATGAGCACCGCCCCCTAGAGTCGAACATGAGTGGACAAAAATTGTCAAGGGGAACCTTTACCTTAAACTCAAAACCCTCAAATCGGTCAAAAAATACAATTCAAAACAATACAGTGATACGACAGAGAATATATAACCATAAATATGAATAACCTTATTTTAAAAAATCTAGAATTGATTAAAACATACTGGCATTTCTTATTTAATCCAATTAATTTCCCCTGCAGCTAGTGTTCTGTTGAAAGAAGCCACAAACATTTTCCATAAATATCTGTACTGGCAATGAGTGGCCATCTCTTACAGTATTTTGCCTAGCCATCTAATTAATGAGATGGTGTACAAGCAAATGACAGCCTTTGGTTTTAATATAACCAAAATGCTCAGCAAAGCTATCTTTGCAGAGATGTGGGCTGGAAAATTATAGCCATGTGGCTCGTTCCATCTTGGAAGGAGACAGTCTGTGTTGCACAGTGTTCTTAAGTCATGGACCAGATGTCCATCTCCGAGTCAAGGAAGACTGTTCTGAGAAGCTAGGATGTTTCCTTCTCTAACCAGATCTCTATGGGTCTATAGAGGTAGTCCTTGAATTATAACACTCCTACAAGTCAATGGCATAGCATTTGCTTTGCATACAGAAAACGACCCCAGGCTTATTTTACAGCACCTCCAACTGGTGCAGTGGATGGGAAGGATTCCTTCCTAGAGTCATGGTAGGCCATTAACCCAGATAGATATATACTCTGACCTGATATATATCTTTTACTGGTAGAATTGACCCCTTTTCCGTTTGTGCTGAGCCCCTTATATATGTTTTGCTCGCTTATTATACACATCATCATCATCTTTCCTCCTAGTAACTCGACATCCTCCTCCCCATTTTTATGCTTACAGTATTATACTCACCATCATCATCATCATCATCATCATCATCATCATCATCATCATCATCATCATCATCATCATCATCATCATCATCATCATCATCTTTCCTCCAAGTAACTCGACATCCTCCTCCCCATTTTTAGCATTATCGCTGCCCCTAAGATAGGTTAAACTGAGAGACAGTGCCCTTCCACAGTTCATCCAGTGAGCTTCACAGCTGATTGAGGGCTGGAACACAAATCTCCCCAATCCTAATTCAGCATCCTGACTACTAGACTATGCTGCCAGCTTTACTTAGAGAGCTACAGTGTTGGCCATTATTTGGCCTGAACAGCATCAGTATGTGTATGCATGTGCATGGGTTTTATTATGGAAGTCCTATCATATTCAATAAAATAAAATAAAATAAAGACTCTTAGATTGTCTTGACAGTTTATTTTTATATGACCTTTTCAGCCGCCAAATGTCCAAACTGATACGTAACTTATTAAGTACAATTATGGGTACCTGATCCTGTTTTAGGGATCTATCGTGCCATATTTTTGCTTTTGAACTGTCAGAGGACATGGACTGTCTTTGACTACCAACCATGATCGTTGCAGGCTGTCATCTTCCAAATCAGAGCCAGTGTGTCTCTTCATGGCAGTCACTGAACATACATAGAAGTGGCTGGATAGCTCCATGGTTTAGGTATCTGTCTGTGGAGGCACAGAATTGAATTCTGCACTGTGCCTCCTGAGAGAAGAGCCAGCTCAGGTGGCCTTGGGCCACCTGCACCATCCCAGAGCACCTGCATAAGAAGGGAACAGTAAACCAGGATTATAAGGGTTGTAATCTGAAACAATGGGAGGGCCAAAAGGTCTATCTCCTGACCCAGCCGATGATCTCTGTTGCCTGCACAATGGCAGGTTTTTGCAGTTCTATTCTGCAATGTAACCTGTATGTATGTAAATTAGCAAAGTGCAAGAGTCCAACACAGCAGTATTGAGAAATACTGTGATATTCAATCCCATGTGTGGGAAATGGCCCACGTATTCTTCAGTAAAAGAACAGGAATGATCTCTTGAAACCTACTGAAAAAGCCCTACTTCTTCCAGGTTATGTATTTCATGTTCAGATATTGTAGAAAAGATTTCAAGGATACTTGTGAACACTGACAATACGTAATAATCTCTTGCATCCACCCAAACATGCTTTTTGAAATGCAAAGATTTATGGCCTACTGTATGACAGAGAAGAGAATTTCCATTGTCGGGAAAAGTATCATCCTGCCCTATATCAGAAAGCAATACTTCGGTGCTCAAGCTCCAAACAGTCTTCAAGAGAAACTCTGAGCATAGCTTTTGGCAGTATAGTTTAGTTTTAAGAAAGGCAATAGATTATAGTTATTGCCACATTCTAATCAAGCAATAACAGTCTTCACCCCAGGCAGAATTTATAGGAGGGGCTGCTAACGTTTTCACCTTCAGATTTTTGCTGAAGTCAGGCTTCAACTGTACCGCCCTGAAAAACTTGTCCTGTTTGATTTTGGAAGCCAACCAGGTTGCGTCTGATTAGTATTTTGGCAGAGCACCCAAGAGGGAATATCGGGGATCACCAAAAAAAGTTGGGGGAAACCCCCCGACCCCAGACCGTTGAAGAGCCACCGCTGCCACTCAGAGCCGGCAATAACGGTCTGGATGGATCAACAGTGGGACATTATATAAAGCTGCTTCCTACCTTCCTATGTATGCAAATAAGTCTTTTGACCCTATCCTAAGCCTTACCTTTACTCCCCCATCATCACTCCTCTCCTAAACGAGCAAGGGCATCAGTCTTTTAGCTTGGCGCCGAAGGAAGGCTGAGTTCCAACTGTGGACTTCTCGACTTGCAAGGATCTTGACAAGTGGCGGTTGTAGGCTTTTCGGGCTGTTCGGCCGTGTTCCTTCGGAAAACCTACAACCACCCTCGGATCCCGGCCGTGAAAGCCCTTCGACAATACGTCTGAACAAAGTGATTCGAAAGCGCCTCTAGTAAACCAGCCAGAATAGGAAACAGTCCTGGGCTGGGTGGTCAAGCAGCGTCAGTCTGGCAGAAGATACGTGTCCTTTTCTGACACAATAGGATGCAACCGACGTGTGTCTGTAAAACGAGGGGAAAACACTGCGAACCTCTCCAACGAAGCGAGTGTTTACACGCGCACACCGGCGCGCGTGGCTGGCCGATTGCCTGGGGGCCGACGGTGGGCGCCGGGATCCTCCGGCCCGGGTGATCCGAGGCTGGCTCCCTGGGACCCAGCAGCAGCAGCAGCAGCAGCCCTGGGCCCGCCGCCCTGGAAGGGGATCCGGGCGGCGCGGGGAGAGGCCGAGAAAGACGCC